AAGCGTGCAAAAAAAATTTTTTGGTCCNCAGTACTCCAGTCCAAACTGAAGTTTCCAGACAGTACTCCAGTCCAAACTGAAGTTTCCAGACAGTACTCCAGTCCAAACTGAAGTTTCCAGACAGTACTCCAGTCCAAACTGAAGTTTCCAGACAGTACTCCAGTCCAAACTGAAGTTTCCAGACAGTACTCCAGTCCAAACTGAAGTTTCCAGACAGTACTCCAGTCCAAACTGAAGTTTCCAGACAGTACTCCAGTCCAAACTGAAGTTTCCAGACAGTACTCCAGTCCAAACTGAAGTTTCCAGACAGTACTCCAGTCCAAACTGAAGTTTCCAGACAGTACTCCAGTCCAAACTGAAGTTTCCAGACAGTACTCCAGTCCAAACTGAAGTTTCCAGACAGTACTCCAGTCCAAACTGAAGTTTCCAGACAGTACTCCAGTCCAAACTGAAGTTTCCAGACAGTACTCCAGTCCAAACTGAAGTTTCCAGACAGTACTCCAGTCCAAACTGAAGTTTCCAGACAGTACTCCAGTCCAAACTGAAGTTTCCAGACAGTACTCCAGTCCAAACTGAAGTTTCCAGACAGTACTCCAGTCCAAACTGAAGTTTCCAGACAGTACTCCAGTCCAAACTGAAGTTTCCAGACAGTACTCCAGTCCAAACTGAAGTTTCCAGACAGTACTCCAGTCCAAACTGAAGTTTCCAGACAGTACTCCAGTCCAAACTGAAGTTTCCAGACAGTACTCCAGTCCAAACTGAAGTTTCCAGACAGTACTCCAGTCCAAACTGAAGTTTCCAGACAGTACTCCAGTCCAAACTGAAGTTTCCAGACAGTACTCCAGTCCAAACTGAAGTTTCCAGACAGTACTCCAGTCCAAACTGAAGTTTCCAGACAGTACTCCAGTCCAAACTGAAGTTTCCAGACAGTACTCCAGTCCAAACTGAAGTTTCCAGACAGTACTCCAGTCCAAACTGAAGTTTCCAGACAGTACTCCAGTCCAAACTGAAGTTTCCAGACAGTACTCCAGTCCAAACTGAAGTTTCCAGACAGTACTCCAGTCCAAACTGAAGTTTCCAGACAGTACTCCAGTCCAAACTGAAGTTTCCAGACAGTACTCCAGTCCAAACTGAAGTTTCCAGACAGTACTCCAGTCCAAACTGAAGTTTCCAGACAGTACTCCAGTCCAAACTGAAGTTTGCAGACAGTACTCCAGTCCAAACTGAAGTTTCCAGACAGTACTCCAGTCAAAACTCAAGTTTCCAGACAGTACTCCAGTCCAAACTGAAGTTTGAAGATCTGTCTGCATCTCTTGGACAGCTACAGAAGAACCAAGAAAATCAGTCTCATGTCCCTGTAGACTTTTTTACTGTTTAATTAAGTAAGAATGAGTAAATTTTTTTTGATGATACTATAATAAATCTAAGAAGAGTTTAATCTATGTCTTTTGAGTTGTCGAGTTTGGGGAAGGAATTCAAAAAAAATTTAGAGGGGGGGGGGAAAAGAATCAAAAATATGGAATTATATACACCCCTGAATTTGAGTGATTGAGCCAACAAGAAATTAGAGCCTGTTAAGGGTTTTATAAACCCCGTTTAATTGAAGAAAAAGAATAAAGAAAATCCATTGAACAGGATTTTAATAGAACTTTATCGACACATTCCTTGTCTTTATTCTCTTATTTTACTCTTAATTTAGTCCTCTATTTCTCTTTTATTAGACCTTTGTAGAGGATGAAATCCCCGAAAGAGGATTATTAAATTCGCGAATCAGTTGCGTTGGATTCTATACCCAGAGAAGACCTACTCATCTTCCTCTACTTTAATACAATCGTTATTCATTATGTATTTGTATCTAGAAGCAATAAATAAACTTCTAAACACTGCCCTTTATTACGTAACTCACACACAACATACTACTTTTTTATTGCCTTTGTTCCCTAAGTAATATTTCTTTTTGTTTAGTCTTCCCTTTCAAGTTCGTGAGCATCTTCATAATATTTTTCTTATGCGTTTATTTCTCTTTATGTGAATTCCTTTGTTTTTTATGCCTTCCTTTGTATTCTTATGTCTTCCTTTGTCTTTTTATGCCTTCCTTTGTTTTCTTATGCCTTCCTTTGTTTTTGCCTGTCATTTGTTTTCTTATGCTTGTCTTCTTATGCGTTTAATTGTCTTCTTTGCCTTCCTTTGTTTTTTTTACCTTCCTTTGTCTTCTTCTGCCTTCCTTTGTTTTTTATATCTTCCTTTGTTTTTTGTACCTTCCTTTGGTTACTTAATGGGTTATTAATCGTTTTTGAAAACGATCGTTAAATGTTCGTTTTTTTGCTTCGTTTTTCAATTGTTTTCAAAAATGATCGTTTCGTTTTCAGAAAAAAACGACCCAAGCGTTTTGAACTTAAAGAAAACGAATAACGATCGTTTTTGAAAACGATCGTTTTTATAAAAACGATTTGCGACCGTTTTTATACGATAGATTTATAAAAAAACGATCACTATTGAAAAAAAGATCGTTTTTGAAAAAAATACATGCAACTTTATTAAATGTCGTCTTACATAAAGTTAAACAAATGTGGGGGAGCTAACGAAGGGTTGAAAACATTAGCATCCCTAACTTATGCCTTCCTTTTTTTACCTTCCTTTGTTTACTTATGCTTTCCTTTGTCTTCTTTTGCATTCCTTTGTTTTTTTACTCCTTCCTTTGCTTTCTTTTGCCTTGCTTTGTTTTCATGCGCCTTCCTTTGTCTCGTTATACCTTCCTTTGCTTTTTGTACATATCTTTGTTTTTTTATGCCTTCCTTTCAATTTTGTGCCTTATGCCTTCCTTTGTCTTCTTGGGCCTTCTTTGTCTTCTTATGCCTTCCTTGGTTTTTTTACCTTCCAATGTTTTTTGTAAGACATCCTTTGTCTTCTTTTGCCTTCCTTTGTCTTCTTATGCCTTCTTATGTCTGTACTTTGTCTTCTTTTGCCTTCCTTTGTATTCTTGTGCCTTCCTTTGTATTCTTATGCCTTCCTTTGTCTGTACTTTGTCTTCTTTTGCCTTCCTTTGTCTTCTTTTGCCTTCCTTTGTCTTCTTATGCCTTCCTTAGTCTGTACTTTGTCTTCTTTTGCCTTCCTTTTTCTTCTTTTGCCTTCCTTTGTATTCTTGTGCCTTCCTTTGTCTGTACTTTGTATTCTTTTGCCTTCCTTTGTATTCTTATGCCTTCCTTTGTCTGTGGCGTGTGATTAAGATTTTTTACCTTACACTCTTCTAAAAATATTCCTTTAAAGTGTAATCCTAGACTAAATAAATAGTAAAATTAATTTAATTTAAGTTTCATATTTCAGGATTCTTAATACAAAAATCTCAAAGAAACCCCACAATTATGTTACCACCGACATCATAAAAAAAGTATTTTCTTTATAAAAATAGATCTTGATAAATAAACATTATGTATAATTTATCTTGTGTAGGATTACCTTTGTAAAGAATAATGTACATAATTTGGTAAAGGATTATATTGGTTAAGGATTATCTTATTAGAACGGGATTATCTTGGTAAAGAATTATCTACATGAAGATGGATTATCTTGGTAAAGAATCTAATTAAAACAGGAATATCTTGGTAGAGAATTATCTACAATAAACAGGATTATCTACATAAAACAGGATTATCTTGACAAAGGATTATCTACATGAAGATGGATCATGTTGGTAAAGGATTATTTAAAAAAACCGGAATATCTTAGAAACAGGATTATCTTGGTAAAGGATTATCTACATAAAACAGGATTATCTTGGTCAAGGAGTACCAACATACAACAGGATCATCTTGGTCAAGGATTATCTCAATAAAACATGATTGTCTTGGTCAAAGATTATCTACATGAAGCTGGATTATGTTGATAAAAGGATTATTTAATAAAAACAGGAATATCTTGGTAAAGAATTATCTTAATAAAACAGGATTATCTTGGTAAAGGATTATCTACATAAAACAGGATACTCTTGGTAAAGGATTATCTACATAAAACATGATTATCTTGGTAGAGGAGTATCTACATAAAACAGGATTATCTTGGTAAAGAATTATCTCAATAAAAAAGGATTATCTTTGTAAAGGATTATCTACATAAAGCAGTATTATTTGGTAAAGGATTATCTACATAAAGCAGGATTATCTTGGTAAAGGATTATCTACAAAAAGCAGGATTATCTTGGAGAAGGATCGATCTTTTTTCAATTGTGTAGAACAAGTTCCTGAACAATTGATACTAACTCCTCTAGTGGTAAAGAATGCTAACCATTTTGTTATATACTTAATCTCCTGTTCAACAAAATAACCAACCTTAAATTCCCTCCTTTTTTATGATTAAGAGAGTGATAAATGTAAATATAAAATTAAATTAGAGAACTATTTATTTGATAAATCAGTATGGATCACAGAGGGAGGATAAGTAATTATCCTCCCTGTAAATAGGGAGGATAAGTAATTATCCTCCCTGTAAATAGGGAGGATAAGTAATTATCCTCCCTGGAATTAAAAAAGGAGGGAATTTAAGGTTGGTTATTTCGTTGAACAGGAACAGGAGATTAAACGATAAATTACTACTTAACCGGGAGTTTTCTTGGAGGCCCTCGGCTAAGTGGTTTTCCCCTCAATTTAATTATCCTCCCTTAATCTCCCGGTTAAGTAGTAATTAATAGTTATAACTTCCAAGTTATTTGTTATCTAAAGAATTCCACAAAAATTAAAAAGATAGATTTTTCTCCTTTTCCAAAAAAAAATTCATTTTATTTTTCCTCACATTTCTTAATAAGATAATTTGTTGGAATTTTAAGATTTTAAAGAGATGAACTTTCAGCTCCAAATTTGTTGATTAAGGATTTGTTAATTTCAGGAATTTTTCCATGGGAGGGTTAATTTTTTTCTTTCCAGGGGGGCTTACCCCACTGGTCTTTAAACCCCCTGGAAAAAATAGATTTTACTGATCTAGGGGGGATAAGCTTCAATAGCCCCCCCCCCCTGTGAACGCCTCTGGTTAATTTTAGGTTGGTTTGTTTATGTTCCTGTAGCTAAGAACACAGTTTTATCCGTGTGAGCCGGCCGATACCGAGGAACCTGGAACAAAATTTAAATAAGATTAAAAATATTAAAGCATATCAAAACATGTTTTACTTAGGAACTAAAGCAAGCTTTTGATGAAATAAAGTGTTTCACGAAAATATTGAAAATCTTTTCATTTGACTTACAAAACATAAAACTTGTCTGTTTTTTTTTACAAAAAGAACCGTATTTTTAGTCGCATATTTGTTAGTTCAAATATGTTTAGAAATTTATGTAATAAAAGACTCTTAACCTGCGAACCGCCGTTTGAATATCCGGATTTAAGAGAGATGTCATCGTCCGAAATATATCCGGTGTCCGGACCAGAATCCGGGGCAATCCATTTCCGAAAATATCCGGATAATTCCACGAGTTCCAACTGAATACAGAGAACTTAATATATAGAAATAATAAATACTTAATTTATATATTTCAAATAAGATATTGCTAAATTTAAATAAAATCAAATCAAAGTTTAAAATAACGTTCTGAAATCTTTGAAGTTTTATTAAACTTTTTTCTAAAAACGATCCAAAGCGATTAACAACACTATGTACAATACTACCTCTGTGTACACTGTAAAGTATTACCCCCGTGTACGGTCCTATCCCTAGTACAATACTACATCTGTGTACACTGTAAGTATTACCCCCGTGTACAAGTACTAACCCTAGTACAATACTACATCTGTGTACACTGTAAAGTATTACCCCAGTGTACAGTATTAACCCTAGTACAATACTACATCTGTGTACACTGTAAAGTATTACCCCAGTGTACAGTACTATCCCTAGTACAATACTACATCTGTGTACACTGTAAAGTATTACCACAGTGTACAGTATTAACCCAAGTACAATACTACATCTGTGTACACTGTAAAGTATTACCCCAGTGTACAGTACTATCTCTAGTACAATACTACATTTGTGTACACTGTAAAGTATTACCCCAGTGTACAGTACTATCCCTAGTACAATACTACCTCTGTGTACACTGTAAAGTATTACCCCCGTGTACAGTACTAACCCTAGTACAATACTACCTCTGTGTACACTGTAAAGTATTACCCCGTGTACAAGTACTAACCCTAGTACAATACTACCTCTTGTTCAATTTCTTCTTCAGTCTCTTTTCTCTTCCTTCTATCAATGTGTAAACTTCGACGAATATGTAATCGGATTTTTAACTGAAAAAAAAATTGATTAAAATTTTTTATTGGAAGGAATGAAATTAAATAAAATAAATTTTTTTACAGTAAGTGTACATAAAAAGACAAGGTCATTTTTTAAAACGTCAAAAATATGTTAAAAAAAGTTGGCTTCACATTTTTTTAATCAAGGTCCAATTGTTCACTGGACTATACAAATAAAGTTCAAATTAATTTGTTTTAATTAATTAATTCTGGTAGTTTTACCTTCAGAAGCTTTCTCTTTTCGATGTTTATTTTGTAATTCATTATTTATATTTTAGTATAATAAGTAGTTTACGTAACCCAACGATATTTTGAGAAGAAAATTATTAAATATTTCAAGAATTTGTTGCAAATCTACGCAAATTGTGTATTGTATAGTGTACAATGATGTAAATTTGTAATCTCTGTGTGAAAAAAAACTCAGTGCCCTTGTCCTGGTCGCCCCTCCCTTCTTTATAGTCTTATCCATTTCAATACAATGTTAAAAATAAAAACAATGTTTTACGTTATATCTATGTTTATCAATGCATTTTTTGTATAAACAAAACATAATAACAGTGTAATGATGCGAATAAATTTTTATTATTTGATAATTCGATAATTTGATAATTTGATATTTTTTTTGTCCCCATCTATCATCCGGACTGTCTGTTTGTTTGTATCCAATAAACGTCCAACCGGCTAAAGCGTTTTCTTAATTCTCCCAAGGTACAGATGGGTAACTTAACATCCCGCTCTTGGGGTCTGTAAAGTTGGTAAAATACGGTCTAAGAAGTGTATTTCTTCATAAAAATTTCCATAGAAGCTGTTTTGCCCTAAGGCTTTTCTAAAATTATAAAGACGAGGCGTTGGAAATTTATCCGACTATAGTGTACGCCTGCACACCTGTATTTTGACGACATTGGTTATTTTGGTTGTTTGGGAGTCTAACGATCGATATTAAAACCTAAGATATTAAACACAATTGTGAATGTTTTGTGCTAAAAGTTAACTAAAAATAATGATATTTTCAGATATTGTCAAATTTTTTCTGATGTTCTATGGAATGAGATTTTAGGCGTTGAAGGAGAGGGGACCAGATTTCCGATATTATAAACGGTAAATAAATTTGGTGTAAATGTCGTCTTCTGTTTAATCTTAAGCAACGAAATAATATCGCATAAAGTAATGTATTAATCTTTCTTTTCTATTGATTTATGTAGATGATTTTTTTTCAAAAATATCCACCATTAAAGAACAAAATGTCAAAGAAAGTTTCGTTAAAAATGCGAATTAAAGGACGACCTTTTACTTAGAAGTCTTTTAAAGTTGATTACAAAAGGTTTGAGGCATGAACAATTTGAGGATTTTTAAAAGGTGGACTTAAGGGATGAATTCTGGAAATTATGTTTAGTGTCTTTGTTGCGTAAACTCCACTAGTCAGTTTTATGGACTAAATACAAATTTAAAATTTCAAGATCGAAGAACTTAAGTGGTTTTCTTGTTTTGTTTTAAACTAACTCTTAAATCCATTACAAAAGACGACATTGTAAAACGTCAAGACATTTGTTTCTATCTGGCTCGCCCACAAAATGCGTCAAATTTGCGTAGATTTCCTGATGCACTATCTTTAATTAGCAAGGTCTCTGATATTGCCTCTTAATTCTAAGGGTTTGATCCCCCCCCCCCCTCCACTGCAGTACACATATTTGACGCATGGGTTCAGGTGGTTCAAGAATATTTACGTCTCTAATCTTTAATCTGTTTTCTCTTGATTGGTAGAAATAAAGGAACATATTTTGAAAGGCTTAGATGCTATATTGTTTTCAATACAATAATGCAAAATTTTAAAATTTCCAATTTTACATGTTTCCTGACATTTTCTGCCAAAACTTTAATTGATCATTCTGTCATAAAAAGAACTTGGGAGTTCAACCAGTTCTCAATACGAAGTATTTTTTATATTTATATGTAGCCTATAAAAACTTAGATTTTGAAAATAGACCCAAAAACAATTTGCAACTGTACCTAGTGATATTTAATTTCAGGGTCAAAATTTTATGTAGAATAGTGTTAGAAAAACAAATGTATTTTAAACTGTAATTAAAAAGTTCTATAAAAAAGACCCAAAAACAATCCATAAATGATGAAAAACGATGAAAAACGATGAAAAACGATGAAAAACGATGCAAAAACGATGCAAAAACGAAAATGTCGCACTTATAATTTTTTTTAGGTTAAATACATTTCAAAGTTTAATAAACGCAAACTTTAACAACTGTTTGAAATCTTTAAAGTTTTATTACATTGTTTTCTAAAAAAAATGGAAAAAGATTAACAACACTAATTGTACCTGTAGTTCACTGCTAGTATCAGTACTAGAGCTAATGTTAAGATGATTATAAAGAGAAATCTTGTCTCCGTCTCCAACCAGATCATACAGTGTAGTGTTGTGTAACCTAAGATCAAAACTTATTTTATTTGAAATCTATGTTTATTTTATATACTTTGCTTGTAAGTCCGTTTGTATCCAATAAACGTCGAAACGGCTGAACCGATCGGGCCCAAATTTGTTATGGAACCATGCATGACCCCACGGAAGGTTTATAGCTGATCTATTTTCCAAAATTTGCCTCCGTCAAAATTCTATTTTGAAATTTTGAAAATCCACGAAAAGTTTTATAAAATCCACGGATTTTTTTTTTAAAAATCCGCTTAATTTTTTAGTTTGTTTTTGTTTTACAATGTACACAAAGAAAACATGTTCACAATTTAAATAAAAGCCTAGTCTTTTAGAACACACTTAATCTGTTTCGTTCTCCTGGCGATGTAGAGTCGTCGTTGTATATATCAAACAGCATATTGGAAACCAATAAACATAGAAACAATTAACAGCTTCTCTTTGTTTACTTGTGAACTTGTAATTTGAAAAAAAGCTTGCTAGAAACCAAAGCTTCAATATAGTCGTCTTCGTTATATTGATAAAGACGTCAACTACTGTAATCTAAGTCGACAGACTAATCAACCAGAGCTGAAAACTTTAGAATTAAATATCCTTAATCCCGATCGGTTAATTAATCTGGAGATTAATAACAAGAGGAGAACAAGCATTATTTAATCTGGAGATTTAGAAGAAGAGGAGATCAAGCATTGATCTCGATATCCACCATTATAAAGTTTTCAGCTCTGTTTCTTTAAGTCTTGTCTTGTTTATCTTTTGGTGGATTTTTTTAAAAGTTTAATTAATCTCCTTCAATTTAAGTTTAAATGGATAGTAGAAACCCAAGTAGACCTGGTAACAAGGCTTACCTGGAGGATAGATACTCGAGTAGACCTGGTAACAAGGCTTACCTGGAGGGTAGATACCCGAGTAGACCTGGTAACAAGGCTTACCTTGAGGGTAGATACCCAAGTAGACCTGCAAGACTCTCACTAGTGTAAAGTATGTGACCATCTGTTCCCAAAACTGAAAAATATGGATCGATTCATTAGAATTGATTTCTATAAAATAAAATTACGCTTTTCCAATTCCTTCAAATAAAATCCATATTAAAATGGACTGTCGTCGTATTTTTCAGTTGATCTACATTGCAAGGAGGAATGCCCAATCTCTACGGTACCCCCTGAAAACCATTTTCTAATAAAAATGTGGAATATAACGTCGTTTTCTGGCTTGAAGTGTTAAAATTCTGATAATTTCTACATTGTTTCTGAATCAAGAATGTGCTAGTCACATTTGTAGAGAACCCACAAATGGAAATAATTAGTTTTTAATAACAGAGAAATGGATATCTTATTCATACTTAATCAGAGCTGGGAACTGTAGAATGGGGTACCTTTAATCCCGAATGCTTAATCCGAATATGTGGACAATTATAATTTCTTGCTTAATCCACTCTTTTTTTGGATAAAGTACAAAAAATCAAAAACCGGTTTTTAAAAATTAGAGAGTCACTCCCGTTTCTGTATATTAATCTTAAATGGCGCGCAAGATTTAAAAACTCGGTGATGGTGATGGACCAAACTTCTGTAGAGTAAAAAAGTAGATGTTAGTTCCACATTTATTGAAAATATTTTTCGGTCTGGGTTGACCCTCGTCAGTTCTTGAGATTGTTTTTTCACAAAGATTAAAAACAAGTACAAGATTAGGTTAGTCTCGAGATTAAGAAAAAGATAGAATCAAGAATTGATCTCGATATCCACTATTCTAAAGTTCCCAGCACAGGCAAATCTTAAGGGTGCCGTTGTGAATCGGTCATGTCTCCCTTTAAATCTTTTGAAGTTACGTTTACAGTCCCTTACCCTTGTAAACCTTTTAAAAAAGAAATATGAATTGTCAGACCAATTGAAACAGTTTTTAACGTAATAATAAATTAGTAAAATAAAATCTTAAAAGTTAAATTTATTGAACTAAAATCAAAAGGTAATTGATGCAAATAATGATTTTAATGCAATATTGAAATAGTGTATAAGTAAGAATCGAATAAAAGGATAATATTCAGTGGTCCTCAGAAAGTAATATACTCATCTAAATTTAGTAATTGTGTTTAATAAATTGAAAAGACTACCGGGGCGTAAACAGGGGAAGAATGGAGATTTTTTTAAATGTTAGACTCTTTTTCTATTGATAAGTGGAGCATAAGGATTGTTTCAGAACACTGTGAAAGCGTGTTGGTAATTAAGTATAATGTTTAAAATAAAAACATTTTCGACAAGGTTAATATTACTTACAAGGTTTGTTTCACTCCTTGATTTGAGAATTCTAATTAAATCAGATTTTAGATAATAATTATTATATCAGACAGTACGGCGTAGTCTGCGAACCAGCAAATATAAAAATTCAAAATTTTCCAGAACCAGAAACTTTTGAATGTGCGACAAAAGCTCAATTTAATCTCATTTCACAAAAAATTTGATTGGACATTCATAAATTTTTGCGCCGATCGATTAAAACTCATTCTTTCATATCATAATTTTGATCTCTAAAGCGAACGAATAAATGATCATTTAAAACCAATGAATGCCTTACAATTAACACATGAATGACCTATTATGAACCAATAAATGACTTCTTCTGAACCAATGACTACCTATTCTAATCTAATCTAATCTAATCTGATTTTTTTCGTTAAAAATATGACAGGTTGAGCATAAAAATTACATATCTATATGATTTCTATTTATTTTCAACGGAAGAAGAGCAGCCATAGCAGAGCTGTTTTCTGGTTGGTCTCCTGGCAGTTTACCGTGGTATTAATTAGAACTGAACTGATGTGATACGTCGTGGGACTGGGTCTGGAGAAGACGGAGGAATGCGGTCGGGTTTTGCCCCATGCTATAAAGAACCCGTAACAAGTAAGACATTCCTGATTTTAGGCAGAAGGCAGAAAACAGAAACAGAGATGCCAGGAACAATTGCATTCCTAATTTTTTGCGCTGCAAAAAAGTTAAGCAAAAATGTAAGGTCCACCCAATAAATACCTTTTTCCAAAAAAAAGGAATGCCAGAGCACCGATTTTTTATAAGAAGGATTTAAAAATGCAAATTTCTTGACATATAAACCCATTGAAGTAAATACTAGAAAAATTATGAGAATGTTGTTAAAAATGACGATCAATTAAATCAGGGCCAGCAAAATAGTTTGTTGCAAATAAAGTTTTCACTCTTTGACAGCAAATGATCTTTAATTGTAGATTTAAAAGTAAATTTATTAGTAATGCTTGATATTTCAGGATTATTTAGAGCTAAATTGTTCCAGCATTTAGGCCAATCAGAGAAAGATAATCGACGTAAAGATTTATTGTCTACTCTTTGGATAAAATAATCATCAAAGTTTCTCAAATTATACAAATTTTCAGTCCATACCGAGTTTTTACAAAAAGAATTTCCATAAGACAGTGGACTATAATTTTTATCAATTGAATGCATAAACATAAGTTTCTAAGAAGAGTAAAACAATGCCAGTATAAGCCTTGAATTTAGATTATGAGATAATTCTTACACACTTTATTTTGCAAAAGGAATAATGAGTTTAAAGATTTTAGTGAGGCAGATGAATAGATAGGAAGGCAGTATAGAAAAAGTGGGCGAACTAAAGCATAATAGAGAGACTTTAAGGCAGAAGACGACAATAAATGCTTAGCTTTACTAATCGGGAATAGAGCCTTGATATTTTGTTTCTAGTTTGTTTAATATGATATTCAAAATTAAGGTTTTCATCCAGAAAACACCAAGGATTTTAGAAGCCGGAACCCTTGAACTGTTATTAATCTTCTCAGTGGGGAAAATGAATCATGGATCAGGAAAAGAATTCAACTCATTGCAAATAAAAATATAAGTCCTCAATTTTTATTCATATTCATTTAGTTGAATTTTTATCAATAGCTTGATAAACAAACCCCCACATTTTTTTAGGACAGTTTTTACTTGGTTCAAGTTTCTTTTCATAATACAATTTTTTTGCTTCTCTAATAAGCTTGTTATATAAGTTTCTATAATTCTTGTAAATGGGGGTTTCTAGATGACAAGTAGTCTTGATAAAAAGACAGTTTAGTGCGCCGAGAGGTTAACAATCCCTTAGAAAAAGTTTTTATTAGATTTTTTGACAGGAAAATATAGAGATTATACAATGTAGACCAGCTGTTCCAAAATAAATCAAAGCTTTCCAAAGGATCAGAACAAGATAAGACATCATCCCATGAAAGATTAGATAAAGTTTCACGAAACAGATTAATATTAAATTCTGAAAAATCTCTAAATTCAGTAAATTTGTGCTCGCTTTTTACTTTATTCTTAAGATTCAGTATTAACGAATAACTGACCTATAATTAACTAATGACTAACCTATAATAAACCAATGACTGACCTATTATTAACTAATGACTAACTTATAATAAACCAATGACTGACCTATAATAAACCAATGACTGACCTATAATAAACCAATGACTGACCAATAATAAACCAATGACTGACCTATAATGAACTCGTCTAGTGCCTCCAGCATAAGGTGTGTGAACTCCTGGTTGCAAAGAAAAGGAGGTTTCCATTCTTCTTTCAAGTCCTCGCCTTCAGATCTTAATTTTTATCCTTACTAGTATTATTATTAAAGGACACCCCATCATACAATGACATAGGGGGCAGCGCTCCTAACCGCCGAAACGTATCCATAGACATTGCGTAACTTGAAATATTATTTTTATCAATTTTCATTATTAGAAATAAATATTATGAAAATTATTACAATTATTATTAACCACGCGATAAAATATAATGTTAATTTTCAATAAGAATATTAATTTGAAGCAAGTACTTAATCCGTTAAAAACAGCCGTCTCCAGAAAGAATTAAATGAATGTGCCGGACCAAAAAAAAAACACGGATTAGTGCTCTCTCAAGGGGTTAACAATTCATAAGTTCTGGATATAAGAGATTTTAACTCTGAACTGAATAAATGTTTACTTGAGTGTGAGCTCGTTATGCTGCCTGAGGAAGGAGATTGCAGTTTTAAGTATACTCGTCTTATCCATCTTCCTGTTACTGGAGCTCACTAGGGTACCCAGCTCGGTAACCAGGGTGTTAAACTAAACACAAGTTCTTCAAACTTTTTATAAAAATGCGGTGTCGTGCGATATCAGTTGTAACATTTAATCGTTTCTCTAAAATGTGATAATGTAAAAACCAAACTTATGACAATAATTTTCAAGGTATCAATGTTGGAAAAAGCGCATAAAAAATTCAAGTCTAAAATAAATATTAAATTTTGAAAATGTAAAAAAGCTTTATTAAACTAACTTTGTGGAAACCTGACTTAGATTAAAAAATTACTAGACTTAAGCTATGCTTCAATTATTGTCTGATATTAATGAAGATAAGCTGATAAAAATTTTAAATAATAAGTCAACCATCATATAAAACAAGGATCGTCTAGTGACCTTTAAATAAAAATTACAAGATGATTTAGAACTTTAGCAGGACTGCAAACTAAATTTTAAATGATCTGCCATTGTGGTTTCTGTAAAAATAGATCTACGCAGTAAATTAAAGAGAAATTAACCAAATTTTTCTGTTTCAAGATAAAAAAAAGTCACTTAAACAGTACAAAGAGTTGAAAATTTAAAATGGAACTTTTAGAACTTAATTTAGAAAAGATATAGGATTAATGTTGAAACTTTAGGTCTAATAAAATCGTTGAACAACTAGTTTCCCTGATCTCTTCTCTTCTTCTCCGAGAGGTTCCGGGACTTCCTCTTGGACTCATCCTTGTCCTCGTCGTTATCATTGAACCCGTCCACCGACATGTTCAGGTCCAACCTATCCTGGTTCATGCGCCCCGAACTCGAGCCCGGTCGAACAGACATCCCAATCCCCTGAATACACCCGTGTTAATGTTGAACTATATGTTTGTAATTTTGAACTAAATGTTCGTAATTTTGAACTAAATGTTCGTAATTTTGAACTAAATGTTCGTAATTTTGAACTAAATGTTCGTAATTTTGAACTAAATGTTCGTAATTTTGAACAAAATGTTCGTAATTTTGTTCGTAATTTTGAACAAAATGTTCGTAATTTTGAACTAAATGTTCGTAATTTTGAACTAAATGTTCGTAATTTTGAACTAAATGTTCGTAATTTTGAACTAAATGTTCGTAATTTTGAACAAAATGTTCGCAATTTTGAACTAAATGTTCGTAATTTTGAACTAAATGTTCATAATTTTGAACCAAATGTTCGTCATTTTGAACTAAATGTTCGTAATTTTAAACCTAATTTTCGTAATTTTGTACTAAATGATCGAAATTTTGAACAAACATTTTAAATAAATACTCTTAATTTTTAACAAAATTATCAACATTTAAAAAAAAATATTCGTAGTTGTTTACAAAATGTTCTTAATTTTGAACTTTAAACAAAATCATCGTAATTTTGGAGAAAATAAATGTCGTAACTTAATGCTATTATTTAAAAAAAATGTATGAACAAAATAATTTGTAAACTCAAAATATCCAAGTTTCATCGATGCTGTAAACTAATAACTTCTATTGGAAACAAAAGAACAGAAAACGGGAGAAATTAAAGCTGGAAAGATTAAACTTCATTATTAAATAACATACTTTTCCAGCAAATAATTTGCGTTTTTCCCTAGGGTTTTCTCATTTTCTCTGCATGCAATTGCAAAACTATAAAAACCAGGTATTTCTTAATTGATTTCCCAAAACAAAAACGAAATCAGTTTTTTGGGATGATGATTCTTATGGATGAGATTTTCCCTTAGACAGGAAGGTAATTCTTTAAAACATATATATTTATATATATATATATAACATATATACCCCAGGAAATATTGTGTAACCCCCCCTCCCCCTTCTCCTTTAACCTTTTTTAGAAAATTATTAGATATGCCCGAAAAAGTACATACGTCGTTGAGGCTAATAAATAAACTTTAACCAGGAAAAAAATTATTTTTAACAAGCTGAAGGGCGCGGCGTTACCCGTAGAATTTAATAAAATTTGATTTCTGAAAAATACAAATTTAAGAATTTTTTTACTCAATGTTACCCCCAAGGTACGGGTTCCCTCAAAAAATGCCGGTCCGGTCCGGCCTGAGGGAACATATATAAATATAAATGTCTTGTTCTATTAAATAGAATATAGATTTAGATTTTGTATTTTTTCTACCTTTCTATCATGAGTATAGAATAACTTTTCCACTGTTTAAAGAATACTAATTTCTCGCACAACCGAGAAACTGGGATACAACCTGGAAAGCAAATATGTCGGCAACCATTATTTATTTATTTTTAGTTATTTAATATTCACAATATTGTATAATTTCTTATTTTTAAATTAATTAGTTTTATATATCAATAAAGTTTTTGATGAGAAGAATTATTTGTCTATTTTCTGGAACCATGCTTGTTCATTGTGAAACAACAAACAGGGGCGGATACAGGGGGGGGGGCGGGGGGACATTCGCCACCCCCTGAATTTGGAATTTTTGTTCCTATTTTCAGAATAGCTTCTCAATAGCATGCTTAAGGGAAAGAAACCAGTGCAAAACAGGAAAAATATCTGTCTTAAAAAACTATAATGTGTGAAAAGTTAAAAATCTAGTTTTTTAGTCTTTAGTCATTAATTTTGATTCTTTTTGAGTCTTTTAAGTCAAAAAAATTTTCGCCTGCAGCGCGATTTTTTGTTCCTAATAATGAATTTTTTTGTTCCTAAAAAATCTTGCCCCCTCCCCCTCACTTAAATCCTGTATCCGCCCCTGACAACAAATATTTAAAAATTAAATTCAAATTTTTGGAAAAAGAAATTCACTTCTAAAAATATCCAAAAGTATCTGTTTATTGAGGATTTCGTGCATTTCATTAACATTTCCATTCACTAAATATAGCAATAATCCAACATAACTTTTCAATCCGATTTCAAGTGTTTTATGTCATTCAAATATCAAAATTGGATAAAACATTTTAAGCACAAACTATGTGCATCAAAGCCGGCGTTTTTACGAAAAAAAAACTTTGATTAAGTCGAAATAAAAATAATTTATATTTTTTTGGTTTATATAACTCCAATTAGATGATCACTGAACAATCTATAAATTTTTTAGGCATCAGACAGGGTTTTTTATAAAGTTAATAATCTATAGAAAAATTATACTTAATGGGGCTTAAAATAAACATACGTAAATCCAATCCCAAGAAAAATCGAATTGTTGTCTCGTCAATTTTTTTAGAAAAATCGGAAAAGTATATTTTTTTAAGTTAAAAACGCAAGTTTAATATCAACATCTCGTTGAAATAGAAAAAAGTTGGTTAAATTAATTCCTAAAGTTTTGATGATCAGTATAAACCTTAAAAGTTTCCAAATAAACTTTTTAATTACTCATTTGGGAAATATAATAACTTCAGCTTCAGATGCTAATGTTTAAGATCGGTGCTAAGGATCCGAATCCGCAATATTTTTGATCCCAAAGCCTAGATCCGGAAAATATGTGGATCTGTGGATTTCAATTTAAGTGTAAAATAAAAAAAATAAGATGCAGGAAATATTTTTGGTCTGACAACGTAAATTTCAAATAAGATTTAGGATAGATTAAAAAAAAATATTGCTTTAGTGTAAGAATTTGAAATGATTAATAATTGAAGAGAGCTCCGAATCCCTCTTAAACGACTGATCCCTTTCTTAGAGACTGGTCCATTTGTTATAAAAAAAAGTATGAAAATTAGTGAACAGCGAAATATATTTTGTTTAGTATAAAACAGCAGAAATATGTTTCAACCGTACAATATCCTTAATGATATAAAAGGAGGGGGGGGGGGGATAAGGAAACTCTTCTATCCTAATTAATTAGCATGACACAGAGGAAGAAAAAGTACGAACCTGAGAACGAAAAGTACAGATTTTATTCCTTCCTTTCACCCCAATAATCCTATTTTAGAAATACAACTTAACTCATCTGTGATCTGAAAATAGAAAAATATTTGTTTGTTTTTAATTATTTCTTAAAACTGAATTGCATAAAAAATCACAATTTTATCACATAAATAGTTGCCATTGAGCCAGCAATAGTAAATTTTTTCAGATTTCAATTTGAATTGTTATTAAGACTAAAATTAAAAGAAGTGACCGGCAACGTATGGTAGTTGGACCGATAATGCAGTATTTTTTAGGAATCATTTAAGACCTATGAAAGTTTTTACGGTTCAGTAAAAGCGCAAATTCAATCTTAAAAATCCACACCGATTTTACATTTCGAGGGAAGATTTTGAGAATCGGGTTTCAAGAAATATTCATTAACGACGACGAAAAAAAAGTAAAACTTCTACAATAACCTAATTAGTTGTTTAGGAACAGGTTGAGAGAATAAAAATTAACTAATATCATCGAAAATAAGTAATCTTATTCAGTTATTGGTTTCTGTAATGTCTCATTGTTCACAAACATTTGCTGTAGATTTCCTAGAATTTTTATTAAAAAGACGACATTGTAAAATTTGAAGAAATCTACGAGCAAATTCATAAAGAATAAGAAATTCAATATAATGATGAAAAAAACAATTGATTCTAAGATTTATTTATTGAGAAAATTTCGATTGAGAAATAGGTTCCTTAACATCTAATACGTTTACTGTAGATTTTTTTTTACATTTTTTGTCGTCATTATTTAATGATTTTTAAAACGTGGCCACCCAAATGGATGATTTTGAACGTCGACTTTGCGCTCAACTCCGTGGTAGAACTTTTTAGAAGGCTCTGAAAGGGACTCTTTCAATTAACTTCTGGCTTGCTCCCAGCCCTTCAGTACGTACTCCCTAGGGTACAAGGTGTCCCGTACAGCAGGTAGGGACAGTACAAGTTCAGTGTACTCTTTAACCTTTCCTTGCATAACCTAAACATGAATAATTAGATCAGAATACCTTTCATCGTTTCTATGCATAACGAAACAAACTTTGAAATTTTTACCCGCTCCCCCCCCTTTAAATCTATGAAAACATCTAAAATTCTGAAAAAAAATTGAAGGAAAATCTTAACTTAAGAACCGAATGAGTAAAAATCCTGATACTTCTTGCTGACGACTGCATCCATTCAATAGAAAAAGTTTAAGACTTGATATAACAGCAAAGTATCATGTGTAATGCGAAGATGCATATATTAAGAGAATAGAATATATGTTAGAGTGAAATTTACTAGAAAAGTGTAAAACGGCCACTTTTGGAATGTTTTTATTAGGATTTTTAATCACTGAATTTTTCCTAAATAAGATGATGTTTTGGGCTGAAGGTATCAGAATTAGGGGAGAATTTGAGACATTTTTTCCTTCATAGTCTAAATAATAAAAAACAATTTCCACATATAACCCCCACCCCACCCCACCCCCACCCCCCGATCAAGGCGGGGGTAATTTTTTATACCTCCTCCTTAAACAAGCATAGTACGCTAAATCTTGGGAAATTTGGATAAAAGATAGACAGATACTTTAAGATAAATAAAATATGATAAATTAACAAAATATGAGATTATTGAATTACAGCAGTATATTTGCAACTCAAATATACAGGGTTATCCACAACAAATGAGACTTCAAATACAAGAATTCGTTTTTTATTCTATAACTTTATAACATTAAAAACTTGAAATATACCCTACAACTTTTTGTCAGACAATGAGGTAAACCTTTAAACAATATGTTTAAGACCGAGTGGGCAATTTCACATTCAAATTGTCAATAAAACACGAGTTTTAGGTCGTGGTTAAAGTCTCATCCTTTGAGATTAACACTGTAACTCAAGTCCCAGATTCTGTGGTACATTTTAATCTGCTTTGTCTTGATCTTTACATGCCGTTTTTTTAATTACTTTATAAAATGAGAGAATATCAAAGTTAAGTGTATTTGATGCGTAATTTTCTGTCTTGAAAAATACCCCCCCCCCCATGTTTATCAGAAAACTGTATTATATGGTTGCTGTCTTTGTTCTCACTATTAATTATGAAAGTTCGTCAGAGTATTCACACTTCTTGTTTTTAAAGGAAAATATGAGAAAGGAAAGAATCTGTCAACAACGTCCATTTTGTGTTAACATATAAATGTAAAAAAAATAATAAGATCACGATTCTAGAAATAAATCAGTTACAAATTACAAAATATTGAGACACATTGAACTAGCCAAAGGGAGAAAGTCAATTTGATGCATTATTACTGGCATGACTTTATGACCTCGTAGCTCCTCTAGTTTAAATTTTACGCACAAGTAAACGAAAATAAAATGTATCCTGTATGAAATTTTAAACATTATTGTTCTGCTCAATGACTCTTCAATTAGAGAATTTATGATTAAAAACATTTCATAAATTTGACATGTAGAGAATCATAATAGAAAAGCTACTTCAATTCTAAGAAGTTTTGAGAGGAACTTAACTCAATTCGCCATCAACTTCTATCATTTAACCTATTTTCAATTTTCATCCCCTCCTCGGCCTTCATCCCTCCCTTCAGTTACGCCAGTGGGTAGGACTCTACCTTTTCAAGAGTTTCTGGATAGTAGTTGGATAGGGTGGTCTCGAGATGGTACAGTTTAGGAGCTAAAGATAGGTCGGATAGGGAGGGAGTTGCTCCACACAGATATGGTCCTAGAACAGAAGTAGAATTTTAAAGAATTTGAACCGCGGCTCAAATATGATTGGCTTCAATTAAAATTGTATTCAATGTTTCAAGATTTAAGCCAAAGCTCAACGGAAGCCGGTTTTTGGCGGATTTGAGACGCGGCTCAATTCATTGAATTCTGACTCTGGTTCAAATATAATTATTATTATTATTATTAGCAGACAGTCCATTATTGATTGATAAAAAGGTAGACGCTCCTTGCGACCGAAGTGTATCCAGGGACACAATGGTCTGCTTTGTCCAAGGAACCAGGCGAACTGTTCAAAAAGATTTATTGCTTAATCTCTTGAAATTCACCATGTGGTCTACCGTCTACCACAAACTTATTCGTGGACCTTAGGAGCCATGCACTCTTCGAACAATATGGCTATTTTATGGACTCTATCCATCTGCACCATTTTGTTTGCCCATTTTTAAACTTTCATTTATTTATAAATATTTGAAGCCAAAATAAATATTTTTTACTAATAACCAAGTCTCCTGATTACTGTTTTTATTTTTAAGGACAAATTTTAAAGTTTCAGTCACAAAATCGTTTGCGACGTTTCTGACAAAAAAACATAAAAAAAGACACAATACATCCCGCTTTCTAGATATACAGGGTTTCTCACAAAGGAAGAGTCTTTTGAGACAACTGTACGGAATTCATCATGCCTGTTTCCTTATATTAACGATTCCCTGCAACGGAAAATTGTTTCCTTGTTCGCAAATCACAGAAAGACTATATAAAAGGCAGACGACTTGGGATCATCTTACTTTCATAACTTTAGGTTGTCTTTATAGTTTCATCTTTGTGGGGAACCACTGTAACTGTAATAAGTGAAATGTTATGGGAACCTGTCGAGGTTTGAAGATGATTCTCTAATATCCTGATTTCTTCAATCAGATTTCTCTCCAGCTCTTCATCAAACTCAATCTAGGGGTCAAGGGACTGTTCAGTATTTGCAACAAAAACAAGCGACTGCTTAAAGGGACTGTAAACGTAATTTCAAGTGAAGACGTCAATATCCGATTTACAACGGTACCCTTTAAAGCTTTGTCTAATAAAATATGAATTAGATATCAATGTTTATAATTTAGAAAGCGGATAAGTTTCAACATTTACAACAATGACGACAATATCTTCCACATTATTGATCAGATAATGGTTTAAATATGCCGTTGTGAATCGGGCGTTGATTTCATTACATGGAGGGCCACTTAAAATTATGCTTACAGTCCCTTGAAGGGGGAGGGAAAGGGGACGTCCCCCCCCCCCCGGAAAATCTAGGGTGCAAAAAATTCAATAATATTTTAATTTAAGTTCAGCATAAACCCCTACCAAAATATCTACAGTTCATTCATTTGTTGGATCTTTTCTTAAAAATCTTTGAAAATATTGAAATTAAGATATTAAAATGGAGATCTGCAAATTTAGAAAATCTTAGTACTCCAAAATAGGAAAAGGGGGAATCAACGAATAATATTTAGCAGATGTATAATAAAGAACAATTTAGTTTCTATTACCTTTTTTATAAATTTTGCCAGAGACTGAAAGATTGGGGCAACTTTCATCATTACATCAATATCATCAGAACACTCTATCTAGTGTAATATATATAATATTTAATAATAAAAACAAAAATAAAAACAGTATTGACAATACTGGCTTTAAACTATAAAATTTAGTTGCTGATCCAAAATTACCATTATTCAATTATTTTGAGAAAATATAGGAAACTGATTTTCTAAACTTAATTTACAAATTGAAAAGTTAGATTTAAAAGTTGTTATTTTATCGTTTCAAAAACAAAGTAGAGCATCTTTCGTCCAAATGTTTATTCCTTATTGTCACAGATATTTCTAATTAGGCACCATTTTAACTGCGCCAATCCAAAAATATATATTAATATATTTTACTACTTTTGTTTGTCTTCTGTTTCAATTGTGAACATGTTCTTTTAGTTTACATTGTAAAACAAAAATTATGCGGATTTTATAAAAAAAAATACATTTCGTGGACTTTCAAAATTTAAAAAAATCGAATTTTGTTAAAAACATTTTTTTGGAAATTCGATCATCTATAAACATTCCATGGGGGTCACGCGATGTCCCACAAAAAATTGGGCCCGATCGGTTCAGCTATTTTGACGTTTATTGGATACAAACAAAAAGACACCCAAACAGACAGACAAGAAAAGTATATATATACTAGGCTTTTAGGGCGCTTCGCGCCCATCTTATATTTAAATTGTGTTCATGTTCTTTTTGTTAACATTTTAAAACAAAAAAGAAAAAAATTTTGCGAATTTTTAAAAAAAATTCACGGATTTTCAAGAATTTAAATTTTTTACAAAAATAAAAACCTTTAAAACACATTTTTTAAAATTTTTTATCATTCATAAACCTTCCCTGTGGTCACGTGATGTCCCACATTTAGGCCCGATCGGTTCAGCCGTTTTGACGTTTATTGGATACAAACAGACAAACAGACAAGCCAAACTTATATATAGATAGATATTTGGTTAGTATAGGATTACAAGATATTATATATATTCCTTGGTTGTCTGATATTTGTCCTCCAAGTATTTTACTATTACAGAGCTTTCAGTCACTCTTTCCTCTCCATCCCTGTAATATAAAAATATATTTATGAAAACACCGGGCGGATGTTATAAAATCAGGAAAAATTTCGTTAATTTTAATGGTGTTAGTTGTATGAAAGATAGGAACAAATTTTTTTTCTTCGATTTGTAAGAATGTTTTTCAATTTCATCTTTAATATTTTCCTTGTGTCACAAAAAAATTAAATATTCGCCAAGCAGAATTTTTATAACAACAGCTAAGAGCTAAATTCGTTGTGAGATTGAGCGGTGCGAGGAACTTTGTATGCTTTGTAAGAGTAAGCCTATCTAACAAAATAATAATAATTAAAGGGACCCATGCGTACAGTGAACAATGTAAGGAAGCCATTATCCATGCTAGGATCATTGTTGAGTGTACAGTATAGATTGTTTAAGTGTACTGATGCCGTTCCTTCCATGAACTACATTGGTCGACAACTTGACGTCTCCTATATTGGTCGTCAAATGTACGGAGAAATATCTATCAATCAGATAAGAATTTAGCACGAGACATCTAGCGGCCAACATATCGTCCCCCAAAGTAAGTGAAATACACGACCACTTTCTATGGAGAGAATGGGCTCAGTGTAGAGTGTACAGAATAGTATTGAAGTTTACAGTGTACAGAATAGTGTTGAAGTGTACAGTGTACATTGTTGAGGTTGCGTTTTAATTGTACAGATGTACATTGTAGATTGTGGTGCGTACAGTCGCACAATATACAGTATTGAGTGTTAAGTGTATTATGTACAATCTACAATTTAAGGTTTTTATTGTTACATTGTCTATTGTGTACAGAGTTCAGTGTACAGAATACCTTAGACAAGGCATTTTCCCCTGACAGTCTTGAACCAGCCAAACCGGTTTAGTTTCCTGTGTACATGGAATCACCTACAACCAAAGATTTAACTTGTTTGCGGATTTTTTGTAATATCTCTTTCAATTATTATTAAAATTTTATGAAATTTTGGAATACAATAGAATAAACAATTTCCAATAAATTTTTAAAGATTTTTTTCCCAGAAAATTGTTCTCGCAGATTTTTTGTCCAAAAATATTTTAATATCTTTTTATCATATTTCCATGATCTTAGACCCAAAATCTGAAGCAAACAAAAGGAGGTAGTTGGTCTCTGAATATGGGTATTTTGTTCCACTAATTAATTTCTTAGACTGCACTTATGCTTAATCGGCAGGTTTAGCGTAGAAATATTTTCGAGGGGTATATCGAATCTTAAAATTTTTTTTAATTATCTCTATTACTGAAAAATAAGATTTTTATGTTATAAATAGCTGTAAAATTCGAAATACAAACAATAAAAATATTTTGATTGCAATCACTACAGAATTTCTCCTTGAAATCACGTATATTTCAATAATTATAAATAACTTTTTAATTAACTGTTCTCCCTCCAACATAGCCCGTAAATCAATAAATCATGTCCACCTCACATCGCAGCAAACCAACCAAGGATTTTGAATACAAATATAGAGCACGTTAAAAACGTTTTTTAAAAGATATTTCGACAAAGTTATATGAATTTTTTATATCGAAAAGAAATTCTTTATTACAGTTACTTTAATCACAGTTGTAAGGACTTTGTTTATAGTCGCCACTCGCCATATTTCTCCCTATTTTATATTTATTGTCCGACTTATACAGGAGAGTACAAACTGAGGACAAATGTCAAATCAAAGTTGATAATATAGCGCGATGTCTGGCCGACTCTACCAGACAAACATGTTTGCCAGATAGCTTTTTTTAAATCAAAAACGTCGATTATTTACCTATCCAATCCCACAAATTCTTATTTGTTTTCGAAAATATATAAAAGAAATGCATCCCAATTATAAAATCAAGCATTTATTAATTTTAAAAATTCTTTAGTGGAGATTTTGGCCCTCAATCAAAACAATTAAAAATACTTATTTGACACCCCTGGCATGGCATTTTGTTTGAAGTTATCTCCCAAATGAAAGTTTTATTTAAATTACGAATACACAGTTAAGTGAAATAACAACTACAAAAAACCGCAACCACCTCCTTTTGACAATTTTGTGCAAAAACATCTCGTATTCCGTTTTCTTACTCATCCTGTATTATTTACTTTTTTAGTTAGAATTTTTATCATATTAACATGAGAGCCGATTTTTTTTTGGTAAATTAATCAATGCATATTTTCAAGCTTTCTAAATAACCCTTAGATATTTTCTATTAGAATCAGTTCATAAAAAAACATGATTTTACATTCCATAGAAAATTTTTTTTAATATAATTGCGACATATTGCTTTCAGTTTCATCTAAAAAGGAGGAGGAATAAACATAAAAAATATTGTTAAAATTGTTCTTGATAAACCGCACTTTACGTTTAGTAACTGTTAGCTAATGTGTCATTTGATAATAAGATAACAACTATGGCTTCACACATATAAATAAATATATATATATTTATAACATAAATTATTACAGAGATCAAGCTAGCTATAATATTTAATTTTTAACACTTAGAAACAAGGTGTCTTTGAAGGGCCGCGGATATTAAAATGTCAAAGCTAAAAAGCAATTGTCTTTGTGTTTAGTTTTGAAGAAGGTATGGGAAAAGATCTTAGTTCACTGTAATATTTATTTACATATTCATATATTTAACATATTTTCCTTCATTTTGATACATTTGTCAAAACATTCAAGTCAACAACAATTTTAAAACAAGTTTGTTCTATAATATATATAACAATTCTTTTTAACAATTACTTAAATTTTATTCATTATCAAAAAGCATGGTAGAAAGAATAAGAAAAATCATACTTACAGTTAAAAAACAAAAAAAGTTTCTTCGCCAAAAAATTAAGAAGAAAAAATACGCAATCTGAACTTACCGTACATTCTAATCCTTTCATCCTGAGTACAGCTCGGACAAAATGCGCAAAAGGACAATCTCCTACACTTGTACCATCCGGTCCAGCTTTTATGTACAGTTCCATTATAATCTGTAACACAAACAATTTAAAAATATTCAAACTAGTTAGTGGATATTCCTACTTTTTCGTCAATTTCTTGGAATGAACAAAATTTCAGCAGGGAGAGAAATCGGGGGGAAAAACGCTAGAATGTTTTCTCTCCGCTTTATTTCCAAAAATATGGAATTCGATTGAATTAGAGCTTAAAAAAACTAAATCTGTAAAATGTTAAAAGAAAAGTCGCCAAGATCTATGAAGAAAGTTATGCAAGATATTACTCTAAAAAAAAAAATGTATATAAAGTGGATAAACTTAGTCTCTACTATCTTCTTCACCCTGTAGTTCATAAACATGATTTTAATAACAAATGTTACCCTCTGTTCCAACCCTTACGCTAAGTACCCTTCCTTTCCCTTATACTTCATCACCTCCTCCAAACATTTTTCGTGATTTATCATCACTATTATGTTTAAAATGTACACTGTACAGTGTACACTGTACATCCATGTATATGCTTACAACTCTCATTCGCTTATAATGGGCCAACCAATTAAAACAACCTACTCTGGTTAGGCGGGTCCAAACTACATATTAAATAATTATTTTTCATTTGTATTATCTAGTGCTTTGTAGTTGAATAAAGATATGAAATGAATAAAGGAGGAAGAAAGTTAGATCTTTTGAAATTTCTCGAGTTTTTCTCGAGTTTTCAATACCTCAAAGAGCAAAAATTAGAGAGAAAAAAAAATTCCACCTAAATCTTTAAATTATTCTAGGATTAATTCCAAATTAAGATGTTGCTCTGAATTAAAGAATATAAAATTAAAATTAAAATTACAATGATTAAAATGATTAAAAAAAAATTAAATTACATTTGAATATATAAATGATAAAACATAATTATTGAAGAGACTGAAATAAGTATTTTTTACAATAAAAAATCAAACATTTACCTCAAAAAAAATAAAACGCAATTTATCATAAAGCATTCTTATTTAGAAATATTTTCTATGTTTCCAGACTGCTCACATGATTTACATTATTATTATATAGATTTAATCACAAATCGATATAAATACATATATAAAAACTGAGCTTAATTGTACAAAATTAAAATCTTAAGTAAACATAATTAAAAAACACTGTACAGTGTTGTAAAAAATAATTGCAATCAGATTGTAAATATGATTTTAAGAAAACAAAGATAATCAGGTTGTGAATATGATTTTAAGAAAACAAAGATAATCAGGTTGTGAATATGATTTTAAGAAAACAAAGATAATCAGGTTGTAAATATGATTTTAAGAAAACAAAGATAATCAGGTTGTGAATATTTAAAAAAAAACTTTTTGTAGTTTGTAATTGTGAAATTAAACAAATATGTAGAAATATATTGTTTTAGTCGAAAATTGAGAATAAATTGTGTCAGAGAAGATGGTTGGGGGGAGCAGGGGGTTCGAGGTTTTTTAGTTTATTGATAAATTTACGTCAGCATCAGACTTTGTAAGCATTATTCGAATATCTTAAGCTGAGTATTTTACAAAATAACTTCAGAATATTCATGTTCATAATTTAAAGTTCGATTTCTTTAAAATATTTTTTAAATAATCATTTTTAAGTTTAAAGCTTAGGGCGCCATTTTGTCCAATTTTTTAAGAATAATGGCCGGACACTCAGTTACATTGTGCATAGGGCCCATGTCATAGTGTATTCTGCAATGTGTAATGTGCAATGTGCAATGCAATGTCAAATGTGTTATGATCAATGTGCAATGTGAATCCTTTAGAGTTAAAAGTTTTGTGACAAACAAACAATTTCAAAATTATAAAAATTGTCAAAGGGAAATATAATATGAGAATTAGCTTGGGGAAGTAACCGGGTTCAATAAAGTATTCTGTACTTTTCTACCTTGGGAGATAATTCTAATTCCCGTCTAAAAATCGTCATTGCGGATAGGAGGGGGGACAGAGAAGAAAAACTAAATTCATCTTCAAATGAATCTTATTTGTTTGATTTCAAGCCTTAAGTCAGACCGCGTCAATCTAGTTGCACCAGAAAGCCCTACCTACAGAGCTAGACAGATTTTTTTACCCCTACCGTATGTCTGCCATTGTAGTTGGTGTACCGGGCGGGGCAGTACAAAGTAAATTGGGACCGTAAAAGTCGGTTCAGCTTGTACATGAGTTGACTGTGGTAATGCATTAAAAATGGCATATGGTGTTCTGTATACTGTACAGTATAAAGGAGAGGAATGAAGCTTGATTATATTTATTATATTCTATATGAGAGTATATTACTTATATTTTCTGTTATGTTAACATCCCCCCTTTCTCCTTCCTCTCCTTAGATAAGAGATTCTCTCTCCCACAGAGTAATGGAATATTTATATTTTTATGTGAATTAAGATATTATGGAAACTGGGTTTACTGTACACAATAGTCACAAACTAATCCTAATACGTCACAGTAGAAAGTAAACAACCCCCTGAGCCCGAAATTTAAAAGAGTATCGTTGAACGAAACTTTGAGTTTCCTTTTAACATTTTAACATTTGAGTAGATTTTAATTAAGAGATTCGAAAAAAATGGAGAATCTGAAGAAACTAAATAACATAAGATTTCATAATATTGCATAACAAAAATATTGATATCCACAAAACTGCCTAAACCCATCCATGAAAACCGGGTTCCAACACTGGTTTTCTAATCTTAAGTTTTGAGCTCTGGTTCATCTCCCTTTCAGTATTGCATATCTCAGATTTCTTCAATTAGAAATCATAATAAAGAAAATCTATAAAAAGAGGTTGGAAATATAATATATTTATTTATTTAGCTTTCTCCGATCATTTTTCCAAAATAAGAAGGAAAAGAAGTGAGCTGAAAACTTTAGAATTGTGATCAGCAAGATCAATGCTTGATCTTCTCTTTTTATTAATCTGAATATTGATTTAATCTTACAGTACTATCCAAGAAAGTATCTGAAATGAAACCAATCAGTGTCGATAGTAAATACCGAACAGCCAATCAGAAGCCGAGAAATCTTTTAATTTTTTTATCTTTGGTCGGAACCCAGCAGGGATATCCAAGAGGATTAAGAAGAAAATAAAAAGTGTCCACAGTGGATACATAGATTAAGAAAGAGATAGCAATCAGGATTAAAGGATATATCCAATTCAAGAGTTTTCAACCTCTGATTATCTGCCTCTAACTTTAGTTATAAATTCCTGTATTTTTATGCACCTAATAGTGTTGGATGTTTCAAACTATTTGATAAAGCAGAATTACAAAAGTAAACGATCAGATTTAAAAGAAATAAAGATTAAAAAATCAGATTTTAAGGCGAGAAATCTATTCCTTTAAAAATAAAAAAATGGCGAAATGAATTAACAACGAAATCTAGTTACACTAATGACTAAACCTTACGTTGGACGAGTTGGACTGCTTATAACTGTAAATGACATTTCAAGTGACTCTTCATTTAAAGATGTGAAATTCACAACGTTACCCATTAAACCTTTTATAGAGAAACCAAAATTTAAATTAACCAATTAAAAAAATTTGTGGATATCTTATTCTTTTTTGATTTGAGGGTAACGCTGTAAATCGAATTAACTCTAATAATGGAGGGTCACTTGAAATTAAGTCTAAATTCTCTTCTGATCCTTTTAATACAAATAATTTAACCAAAATGTTGTGCAAAATATCAAAATTTCAAAATGAACACTAAGGGAGGGGAGGGGAGGGAGGGGGGGTATTAGAAAATATACCACTCAACAAAATAAAACTCATATTTCATATATTCTTGCAATAAATAGTTTTGATAAACATGAATCAAATGCATTTTATTTGTGCAATAATAAGTCTATTTCGAACTCTTTAGACAAATTTGGAAACAAATCCAGTGAGATCTATAAAGCATGGGAAGACAATCTATCAGAGATCGTAAATTGTATCTCATGTTGTTCTTAAATGTACAAAGCAAAATTTGTTACTAGTAGTTCACTACACAATTGCTGTGTTGCTAGTGTTGTAAATAGTTTTGAACAGTTTTTAGGAAAAAATCAATAAAACTTCCAAGATTTCAAAACTGTATTATGTTAAAGTTTTCTTTTATTAAATTTTTCCAATATCTTTATTCTAAAAAAATTTAAATTGGAAAAACGATTGTTACAACACGTTTGTTTTTGCATCGTTTTTGCATTGTTTTTGAATCGTTTTTGAATTGTTTTTTGGGTCGTTTTAAACCTTGAATAAAATCTCTGGAAAAAACGACCAATCTGAAAGCACATCCATGTGTTACATATCCATTGAACTATTCAACGTCATAACTGCAATCGAGAAGTCGTCTTCCTATTCCAGTTTTCTGGTTATATTCTGCCCCCCCCCCCTTCTCCTATATGATATAAGGAAGATATTCATTTCTTGTATATTTGTTCTAAACTACAATTTTTGCAATTTTCTCTTTCCCAATCAACACTTCACTCCAAAAATATTTTTACTCTTAAAGGGACTGTAAAATAAAAAAAGGTGTATAGGCTGAAACCTGAGAATCTCAGGAGTTGATCGAGACATAAAAGAGTTCTATCTGATATTCTTGTCTCGAGAAATTGATAGAAAACTGTGTCAAAATTATACCAAAACGTATATATGTAAGATTTTTTTTAAAGATTAGTGGTATTAAACAGATAATATTCAACAAATACGCAACCAATCTGAAAACAACGATATCCCAGAGAAGCATGAGAAATTTAAGTTTGCTTCTATTATTATTTGAATTTAATAATTTTTCATTTTTAATAGATATAATTGATAATATTATTTATGCGTCCGTAATATGTCACCAGAACTCCAACCAATGGCAGTGCAGCATTATTGTCTCCGTCTGTATATCAAATGACCAGTATACTGCACTGCCATTAGAGGGAATTTTGGTCACGTGATACGGACGTATATCTTACATATATAGTTTTTGGTATAATTTCGACACAGTTTTATCATTTTATGTCAATCTATCGAGACAGGAATATCAGATAGATGTCTTATGGGTATCG